TTGAGAAATTGTTAAAATGTAAAAGAACAACAATCTCTTCTAATTTGTTTCCATGAATTATCCTGCTTATCATTATTTCTGTAACTTTCTACACAGGATGCCATAAGTACATATTCTTTATTGTTCTACATCTTCTTGTTATTAAGTTAATAAAGTATTTTTATGCTTTGAAATGTTTATTGTAAACACTCCACTACCATATTTTTTAAAAAATTAGCCTTTTCAAGGATGCCTAAGTGTATATATAATTGTTTGTATATACACACATAAAAAGAGAAACAACAGAATGATGAAAACTCCTTAATCTTACAACACATAGACTCAATCAGTTTCAGGGGAAACTGTAGGTATCCTAGACCAAGCTAAATCCAAAACATGCTAGGAAATTTCAGAAATTTGGCATTCAGACAAATCAGTCATGAATAAACACATGGATAAACCACATTTACATACCATTCAGGAGACAATAAAAAGCTAAGAAAGAAATGAAAAAAAACAATTCATCCTCTGCAGAAGCCAACACCCAAATAAGCAGGGATTAACACCAGACAAATAATCATGCAGAAGACAATTCCCTAATCATGGGACTATAGTTAGTGCACAATTTATAACCATTTGATTAGTACTGTTCAAAGTTATAATAGTGTTGAAAAGTGATGAATGGTTCTCACACAATAGTTGTAGTGCCCCTGCAATCGTAATTGCAATTCAGGCGTTTGGCAACCAGCATGAATTTACAATTGCAGCATATTGAGGAAATATTTCATGATTACCTTTTGCAAACTTCCCAATCAGCTTCTAATAAGCAAATAGGGAAATTGGATTTGCTTGATAATGGCCTGGTTCAGTTAATGACTATGGCAAAAGTAGTCATAAAATAGGTAATGACAATAGCATCATTTAATATCAGAAGTTTTGGTCTTGATTGTGGTCGTAAGGCAAGAACTATCTAATATAGTAATTCATTGTGACTATGATACAGCTGGGATTTCTAGATACAGTAGCACTTTAAAAAAATAGTGTAAAAATATTTCACTGAATGAAAACCAGATGCTAAGATGTAGTTATATTTGTGGATACCTTTTAAGAGTCAGTGATATTAGAATATAAGGAGATATTCTAGTAGATAATCAGGTTTCAAAAACCTGTTCAGCCTAACTATCTTCTATAGTATGAACATATAAAGGAAATGCAAGGATAAACTATGTCATCTTAACCTTTGGGAAAGGCAGCAGAAAAAGCACAATAAATTACTTCAGAAAAACACATAGCTGAAGATGTCTTAGATTACTGCCCAAAATAATAATAACTTGATGTACTTCAGTTTAATTAGTTGTTAATTATGGCCAACCTGGGGGCTTGATGGAATCAGTAAATTAACTTAATATTAAATTTTTCAGTAAAATGATATTGTATCAGCAACAAAAATGTGTATTACTATAAAGGAAATGAATTCCAGATTTGTATTACGTATTACTTGAGATATTTTTTAGTTAAAATACTCGTTTTGAAAATAGAAGGGCAATCATAGTGAGTCATACTTCTGCTGAACAATTATGTAATCTAAAAGAGAGCAGACAATTTCAGTTGGATAACATTCTTTTCCATTTGGATCTCAAATACTCTATACTTTTCATCCGATGTCAAGCAAACATTTCAGACTATATTACTTGAACTTGTGTGCAAAAAAGCTGCAGAATTTTTTTTTAACTCTCAGGATACTATGGTCACACCATCTTTCATTTTATTGCATTTTGTAAAATTATGCAGAATAGCAGAAAAAGAGAAAGAAAACATAAGTATGCAGTAAGAAAAGGGAAATATGCCTAAAACCAACATTATTTGATACATCTGTCCATCAGTTTCTATTTTTACAAACCACTCTTGACTCCACTAAATTCAAACAATGCCTCATACATTGCTTTTGTTCTTTACATTTATTGCTCCTGTCTGTTTCTGGAGTTCATCAACCTCATCCAACCAAATTTTCTTGGTCTTCTCCTCTTTTAGAACCATACACATTTCTAGGTATTTGTTTTGTGATTTATCTTTTGACATGTTTCTGATCTATATTGCTTATTATATCATAAAATCACCAAACTATCACTGCAAATCCTTCAGAGTCTAGCCAACAATACAGAATCCTCTACTCACAAAAGTACTTACAGATCCACATTCCCAGCCAACACACTTCTAATGTCATTGTACAAATAAAAATGTATCAGTAAGTGTATTAAATTATCAAGATAATATCCTACATCTTAATCCTTGCTCAATATTTAACTATTTTTAAGCATTTTATTTATTCTCATGTATACTTCCATCATATATTACTCTTATTACATTCAGCAGTTCAGCTACTCTTATTGCATTCAATTCCACATTTGCACAAAATATTCAATAATTAAAACATGATTAAATCCATTTTATCCTATATTTTCTCTAACTCAACAAACATGCAATAAACTTCCTTTCTCACATTCATTTATTTCTCAGTGACCTGATGAACAGCAGAATTCAGTCTGCACACACCCTGCCAGACATAAAATGAACCCATACTTCCCAATTCTTGTCATCACCTTTCAATCAGTATTCTACTGAATACAGGCACACTTCACAAATAACACTAACAATAACATCATTTTCCTATCATGAGGCATAGATATAGTATAGTCCTGACACACAGATCCTGCATAACAAAACACATCCATATTTTAACTTTTATTTATATCACTTATACCTGCTGTCATACTGTACTCTTCCAAAGATTCAAGATCAGAATCTGTACTCTAATATGGATCAATACTTGTACAACCTCTTTCTTGGAGTAGTTCTATAATTTTAACTTCTTTTATTCTTTCCACTTCTTCTATGGCCAGTCCTCCCAGAATCCATTTTTGCTATTATAAAATAATGCTTTCATAACCTTTTATTGCATTAATATCCTGCACTAATTCTCTCAATTTTTCACCATAAACTATCAACACAATCACACTTTTAGAATTGTTCAGATAGTCCAGAGCTTAAGAACAAGTTCCATTCTCAAAATTTTAGTATTATAAGCCAGAACAATATTATTGTATAATACTGAATAAGTAGCATTGTGTGATGAACTTGAAGCAATGAACTTGTGTATTTAACTTGAATTTTGCTACAGTAGCCTCTATTCTTAACTATGGATTGTCCTTAAACTAGGGCAGGAAACTCAGGAACTTGTTGTACTCATTTTGTTGTCTTGTATGAACAATAGACATGCTTAAGCCACATATTTGAAACAAACATATCTTTTTCTAATCAGATACTGTATTCACCAGTCACCCTTTTAATTCATACTTGGGCTTCTAAAAGGCCCAATCACTTTTTCTTTATTCACCTCATCCTCTCCATTCTCTCTTTCATACCACTTAACAGAATTCTTCTTCCCCTACCACAATCCCTCAGATTATACAGTTCTGGTCAAAAATAATCTCTGCCTGTTCCATTTTTACTATTCTTTGGAACAAATGTGCAATAAATAGTAACTTAAGGATTCCTATTTTCATTTGCATGACAATACACAATAAACTAGATAACGGATAACACAAATCACATTTTCTGAATTGTGAAGTAATTGGTTCCAAAGGCTAAAGAAAGAAATCTGCTGATAATGCCTTTTTACTCTTTCTGTTCAGCACTAATATTACAAACACAGCTATACTTAAAAATGAAATGGAGTCATGACATAAGCTTTCTGAATCCAGTTCCAAGATTCTACCTAGAGAGATCATTGCCTGCTTTAATGGTATCAAATTAAAGCACAGTTTAATATAGGGTTAAGAAATCTTTCAAAATGAACAATCTGGACATTTGAATTAATTCTCATAGCACTCAAGGAAGCTAATATAGTTCACCAAGAATAGATTGTTGAAAACATAAGCTATGGACTGATCAGAAACCCACAAGTGATAATTATAGTTCAGATTTCAGAATGTATGTCCACAGTGACTAAGAACTGACAACAACCTGATGTCACACAATCAATCATTTTCAATACTTGGAAAGATTTGATAGTTTTGCTCAACTTGGTGCTTTCCAAATGAGTTGGACCACTCATAATCCTCACACTGCTTCCATAGTAGCTGAGGATGATGAAAATTAAGATAATTAAAATTGAATCCATTTTTCAAGACACCAATCTGGGGAAGACTGATTCAGAACTTACCAGATGATATATTAAATGTGTGGTAAAAGGTTTCAACTATGTTTATTTTTAAATAAAATGCAGCCCATTGGAAAGGACAGGGCTGTGGCTGAAAAAGAGCTGCTTCTTATCTTTCCTTGGACGCAGGGAAAGTCCTCCCCCACATACTTTTTTGCTGCAGGCTGCCATTTCTGACTACTTCTTAAAAAGCAAAGAGGCAGGCCAGAGAAAACAGCCGCTGCTCTTCATCTCCTCTCTTGCTCTACCTACCCTCCACCTCACCACCACCACCCCAATACTTTAAAGCAGAACCGGTTTCAAATGCTGCCTTGAGATCCTGTGCAGCAAAGCCAGCCTTCACGGATGCCGGAGAAAACTCCCCGTTCCCTTCATTCCTTCCCGTTTTCCCAAGCAAGCTGCAGCCCCCCTCTTGCCCTCATGCCACCTGCCCTCCAAGGCGGAAGAGGTGGTGTTACAGTACTCCTATTAGAAGGCTTATTGCTGACAGGAACAGGAGCAGGTCGAACACGCTCCAGTAGGTCGGAGCCTCTCGGGAATCTCCTTAAGTAATCGATTGAACACGCGAGACCCGAGGCCGCAGCCTTGTGCCTCGTTTGCCACAGGGTGTTCTGAGCAGGGAACATTCGCTCCATTGACACTGATGGGACATCTTTCTGCCTCCGCTCCGCATATATTATTATAAATAACCGGTGGCCAAAGGCCAACAAACCTACTCAATGTCCCAGGGTGCAATGCGTGCGTAGGTTTACGCTAATCCCCCAAAGGCTCAGTTGAGTGTACGTGCAATTCTCTCTTGCTACTTATAATTTTTATGGGCGGCCGAGCCCGAGAGCCGACCTTAGCCCTACTTTCCAATCCTTGCGTCCTTACAATCCTGCGTCTGCTGCACCGGTTTCTCTCTGCCCTGTCAAAACAAGAACTGGCCACGGCCCTTTGCCGATTGTTCCGTTCTAACGTCTCGAAAGTTAAAGAAGCTGCACCGCGCAGCTTTTACAACGTGTAGAAACGTTGGAGGTCTCCCCAGTTTAGCTGCGGTTTGTCCGCCGGGCAATCGGGACCGAGAGTGGACCACCTTTTTCGGCCTGGCCAGGAGAAGTATTGCCCACTGTATGAGACTGGAAATAATGGGTGTAAAGCAGGTAGGATTTCATAAGAACCTGTTTCGTTTATGAGCTTAGTCTTAAGTATGTCATACGTGAGACATAATAGGCTAACTATCTCTGCATCCAAAGCAAAAGTTTATGTAAAACAGAAATTTATATAACGATTGTGTGAGTGCAATTGATTTTATTTTAATCAGTAAACATCCACACGGAAAAATGAAGCGATACCCCATGTAAATATGCAGCCATGCAATGAATGCAGGAAATGCCTACTGTATTTGGAGACCCATCACAAGATCAAAAAGTAAATTAAATTGGAACATTGAAATGCCCTTTCAAATTTTGCAGTTAAATTCAGGATTATGAAGTTCTGAGGACTACATAAACTTATGAAGTTTATGAGGACTGGTGGCAGTTGATTAATTTTTGCCCCTGTTGACCTTCACAGTAGACTAATAGTGGGGAAAAGTTAATGGCTAAAAGTTGAATTCTGTGCCAAAAGAAGTCACCACTTAAAAATAATAGTAATAGATATATTGACTTGGTATTGTACATTAAATGGAACTTTGTATAATCAGGCAAATTTGAAACAGGTTTTCTATGACACAACCTAAAAAATGTATATCACCATAGAGTTATTTCCATTTTTGTAAATGTATTTATCTTAGAGTAATATGATATGTAATATTTTAATATAAAGAGATCATAAATTTTTTCACACTTTGTGATTTCTAATCAATTCCCTTGGCTTGTTGCAGATGACTAAACCATAAATTTCATTTAACACTGTAAGAAATTAATGTGATGATGGACCACTGAATACTCTGAATCTTTAAAAGAAATTATAGACCATAAATACTTGGAAATTGATAGTACAGATTGATGGATGGATAGGTTACATTTTGTCATCTTTGGGGGGGGGGGGTGTTATTTATTTATTTTTTCTCCTGCCCATACTATTCTAAATAACTCAAAGTATCTAATCTAACTAATACTCCTTCCTCCTCCTATTCTCCCCACAATAACAACCCTATGAGATGAGTTGGGCTGAGAGCATGACTGGCCCAAAGGCGGAGCTAGTCTTCTGATTTCTAGCCTGTCTTAATCACATGACAGTTTTTGAGTCTGAATCTCAAGAAAGTGGATAGCTTCTCTGTGATTTCAGTTCTGCATCTGTGGATTGGACGGCCTGCTTCACTTGGCTTATGAAAGCTGCTAGGGAGAGGACTGGAAGCTGGATGCAGGCTGTAGTCAATACTTACTTGAGAGGAGGTAAGTTCTCAGCAACCCTGAAAGCCAGTTATGAATCATCCCTCAGGTAAGGAATCTGAATAAGTTACAGGCTATGAAATATAAAACTGTGGATTAAGTCTATGTACAAATAGTTTTGCTAGTCTGGAGTAAAGATCACTACCCAGAGATGAGTAAAATATGGCAATCCAAATGACTGAATAATTCATTTATTTTATGTTTTATTGCTTTTAATATATACATGCTTTCTGTTCAATTGATGGCCCTAAACACTGTTTATTCCTTTTGAATAAGACTATTCTTATTCATTAATCTTTATTTAAGAAGAAACCCAATTAATATTTAGTTTTATTCAGAAAAATCATAATGTACTAGACTGGTAGTGTAAAAAGGTTTCATTATAGATAAAGAAATCTTGCTGAGATTGCTTTATCAAACTTTAAGAAGTTGTCCAAACCAAATTTTCCTATAGAAAAAGAAACTTTAAATTTAGCTTAGTTTAACCAGCAGATTTTTGAGTATTGAATTCTATGTTTAAGATATGAACTTGCTTTGGGAGAAAGAATCCATATTTCAAGCTGACATCCCGAGTCCTCAGCAGTTACAACTGGTATCCATTGGTGCTTCATTGACAGAGAGCATAGTATTAATGAAAGCTGGAGCCAAGGAAATTGTCATCCACCATTCCAGTCATCCAATTTTGTATCCTGCTTTTTTAAGGAGCTTCATCACCGAACTTCAAAATCATATCTCTGAATTTTGACACAACTCTAAAATAGTTGGTGGACAGGGACAGAGGACCAGGTATGTATGAATGAAGGAGGCAGCTCAGGGAAAAAACATGGACTATTTCCTCACTTACCTGGCTACATATAACAAAGCTATCCACACACCAGCTTTCTGCTACAAAAGAGAAATTGCTTCTTAACTTTTAAGTTTCTTTTGCTTTATCTCTCCTCTGCAATACTGTATGTGACACTACAGGATGTATGCTTGTGTACATGGTGATTTGATTTCCATTCTTCAAGTACATGTTTCTATTCTTTATCAACACAAGCATAACTTTTATATTAGTTTCTGTTATTCAGATTAGGGAAACATTTAAAGAGATCCATGAACCCCTTAAGCTGAAATAAATAGAGAAGCCTAGGAGATAGTAGCAACAGGCTACTTCACTGAAAAGAAATGAAGCATCATAAGTAATTCTGTTCAGCGGAGTGAGGGATTGGTATAAAAGCAGTGTGATTTAGGGGGAATGAAAACAGTATTTTGATTAGTTTGAAACTAACATGATGTGTAACCAGTCTTGAAGAGAGAATGCAAAGTGTCTAAATTGAGCAGGATCAATAACATTAAAGTGGAGGTTGATGGAGAGAGAGACCTACAAAGCCATAAGCATGTATAAGACCATAAGTTGTTGATAAGAAAGTTGTTCATGATTTAGACAGTGATCCTGATCTATGTTATATACATCTTCTGCTTTATATACAAAGATCAATTTCATTGATGTGTTTTGCAAGAAAATTTTTTCAAAGCTATATATTCTTTCCCTACTCTTCCCCTACCCCACTATGCACCTACCAGATGTGTTATTTAAAACACTTTATCCATTTCTTTAAGGTCACAAAACTTTTCAAAAGCATCAGGAACTGAACTTGATTCAAAGTATGTTTTACCTTTACCTTATTCCAGAGATATAACAGACTTTAAATACTAGTTACATGAAATCAACAGCTTTCGTAAGCTATGTAATGCTTATGAAAGCATTGACTTCATATTATGAAGTCAGTAAGACAATAGCAATAGCATTTAGACTTATATACTGCTTTATAGTGCTTGTGTATCTCATAATTTTTACTACCTTAAAAAAAAGCTACTGCATGATCCGGATAACTAAGATAAGTAGATTTTCTGAGTTTCTGTGAATTTTTTTCTAAAGAAAATAGACTAGTATTGTCAATCTGTGTTCCCCTTCTGCTAATAATTGAATAGGTCACAACAGGATAGATTTGCAGGTCACTTCATGGCCTGACCAATTTTGAAGTTTGCACCATTGCCACTCAATTATCACAAAAGCTGATGGGTAAAAGATGTGAAAGAGCTTTTCCCTGACTCATTTTAATGCTACATTTATATATGCCCATACATGCACATACCAAATAATAATAGCAGTGGCACTTAGATTTATATACCACTTCACAATGCTTTCCAGCCCTTTCTAAGTGGTTTACAGAATCAACATATTGCCCCTAACAATCTGGGTCCTCATTTTACTGACCTTGAGCCAGTGAGAACCGAACTATTGGCAGTTGGCAGAATTAGCTTGCAATACTGCATTCTAACCACTGTCCCACCAGGCTCTTATAATGCATTACATTTCTTGGGGAATTCCCATAAGTGGATAACAGAGTATTTAGCTACAATTATCCTTTATAATCACTCTTCCATGTGCTGTGTTCTGGTTTCAGTTGAGTCTCTCCCTGTTACAAATAGCACTGAACAGAAGTTTACTCCCCCTCCCCCAATGTTCTCTGACACTCAGCAAACCCTATCAGCGATAATGAAGCTATTTAATATGAACAATAAAAAAGAACATGTGTAGTAGATTATTCATTTAATTACACAATGGCATTTTCTTCAGCATGTTTGACTGTCAAGCATTTGTAGAGATGTAAGTCCAATTGTATGCATGTTTTTACTTGCATGTGTGTGGTAAGAAAGGGTGCATTTATAAGTGTAGAAAGATATAAAATTGTCTTCTTATATGCACATACAGAAAAATCAACAATGATTAAATAATTTCCAGATGTCTGATTTCATTTCTGTAGTGTATATTATTATTAAAATATATATTGTTACGAGTCTTTACACATTTCATCATGTTCTAACCCAATAATTTATTGAGTTTCCTACCCCACAAGCATATGGATAATTTTTCATAAGTTAGTATTGGTTTTTCTTCAAAATAGAACTCACTGAGTATAAGTTCAGAGACTTTCAGTTGTGGTTTTGTTGGGGAGGGAATCCCAAGCAAAAGGTATTAATTATGGAAATCCATCACATTTGGAAGAAACCAGGTCAAGGAAGCTATTCAGTGGTCTCTGGTGTCATTAAATTCACATTCTCAAAAAAGCTTTGTTTTCTGAGATGGCAGTGCAGCATTCACAGCTACAGGAGAACAGGAGATTACGGATAGGGAAGAGAGAAGATTCAGTTTACCAAGCAAAGCAGTTAACATATATAGGGAAGTGACAAGGAAAAGAATCAATGTACAGCTTTACCACAGGTATTTAATTTTGATACAGATGCTTGATGCCTAGTTTCCAGCATTTTTATCATTTGAATTTATATTCCATTGTTTTATCCATAGGGCATTCAATTCCTCTCTTTCATTAAATTAATGAAAATACCTAACATTGTTATTTAGGGGCAAATACTTTTGTACTCAGTATTCAAAAATAATTCCTTATTTGAATAAGATGCAATTAACTTTCAAAAATACAGTCAGTGAGACTTTATTAGATAAGGTGGGTAGTAGGGGTAGGAAATTACTGAAAAAAGAGAGAAACGTTCCTTCAAATATAATCTTTTTTTTCTTTCTAACCATTCAAACAATTTTTTTTACAGAACTGATGGAAGACAACTTTCATAGGAGAAGGCATTGATGAAGGGAAGACCAAGCAAGTGAAAGTAAAATGTGGATGTTACTTGCTAAAAACTTGTTAAGGACAAAGCTTTATGAAGACTGCTCTCGAATTTTGCTGCGAATACCAAAGGGCAGGCCGAGTTATCAGAAGTATTTTTCATTGAGCAGTAAACCTTGGCTACCTTCAGCAAGGATAGTGCAGGCAGTTCAGACCTTTAATATCGACACAACTATCCAGAAAGTGGAAACCCTAGAGAAAAAACAGTTTATCTGTGTTCGTTGGGAAGATGGCAGTGAGAGCCTTTACCCTTCAGTGTGGCTACGAGACAATTGCCAGTGCCCAGACTGTTTCCTACACTCTGCTAAAGCGCGCAAACTGCTTCTGGAAAATCTAGATATCAATATCGAGGTGAAGGATGTCATTTTGACAGAACAGAAAAAGGTGAAAGAGTTTATGTGTATGTACAGTTGAATACAACAAAATAAAACCATAACACAAAATCATGTGATTCAAGGTATTTGGGCCAGAGCAGATAGCACTTCCCCTGATTTGTTGATGCATCCTGAAATCTATCTTTCTGCCACCACAGCTAGCCAATATTTTCTGCAGTTTACTGCTGTTCCAAAAAAAATGTTAACAAGTGTTTTTACCAAGCCAGTTATCTTTCATCTTGTAACCTTGCTGTAGTGTCTGTTAAATTTTGTTCTTTGCAAAGGTACAAGACGTTCACTTGTATGGAATTCACTTGGCTTTGCATTCTTTACAAGGCCAAGTGAATTCCATGAAACAATTTTGAATAAAGTGTTATTCAGACTGGGCTACGGATAATACAAATGCGTGGCTTTCAATGTTTGTTTCTATTTCATGGAAGAAGATAAATATTGTATGGCCAGATGACCACACCAGTGAATTTGAGGCCGAATGGTTGAAGAAAAGATGCTTTTCTGACCAAGCTAGAGCTAAAGCACAAGAAGAATTATTTTTATCAGGTAAGAATTTATGTTATTGTTGTGTTAAAATGTTAAGGCAAGAGTCTCAAGCATGATCCATAAGACACATGCAGATCTCCAAGTCATTTCTATAGTCCTGTCAAATTCCTGGCCCATGGGCCAGATGCGTCATGTGTTGGCCACGCCCACGCCCGGTTTAGTGAAGGGGGGAGGTCCTGATACATCACATGACGATGTGAGTTTGACACTCCTGACCTAAACAATACTTTGTAGGCACTGAGGTTCCTATCTAGGAAGGTCCTGATGCCAGACACTACATAGATGCACAATCTAGGTCACGATTCTCCCAGGCTTAACTCAGCAGGGTTGTGTCCACTGGACTGTGCAGTTGGCACCTCAAAGTCTTATCAGGCCTGGCAGTGCTGCCTATGAGAATCCTTTACCATGACAGGTCCTGCTTCTGAGACAGCTGTAAAGAGACTGTGAAATGAGGCTTAGTTAGGGAAGATACATATCTGTGATCATATTAAGAGCAACTGTGTTCTTTTCGCTGATGATATAAAGCTATTCAACACCACTGACAATACTGCTACCCTTCAAAAAGACTTCAACTATGTGTCAGAATAGTCAAACAAATGGCAACTTCAAATCTCAACAAATAAATGCTCTGTCTTACATATTGGTAAAAAAAATTAGAAAATAAAATACAAGCTGAACAGTCAAGACCTTGTTGATGACACAAACTTTGTCAAGGATCTTGAAGTACTCATCTCTAATGACCTAAGTGCTAGAGCCAAAAAGGCATTAAGAGTTGTTAACCTAATCCTCCGTAGCTTTTTCTCCGGTAATATCACTCTACTAACTAGAGCATATAAAACATTTGCTAGACCAATACTTGAATACAGCTCATCAGTCTGGAACCCGCATTACATATCTGATATTAATAAAATTGAGAAAGTCCAGAAATATTTTACAAGAAGAGTCCTCCACTCCTCTACTCGTAGCAGAATATCTTATGCCATCAGACTTGAAATTTTAGACCTAGACAACCTAGAACTACGCTGCCCTCGGTTTGATCTAAGTATAGTACATAAAATTACATATTTCAATGTACTACCTGTCAATGAATACTTCAGCTTTAACCAAAACAATACAAGAGCAAACAATAGATACAAACTCAAGATAAACCGCACCAAACTTGATTGCAGGAAATACGACTTCAGCAACAGGGTAGTCAGTGTCTGGAATATTCTACCTGACTCTGTGGTTTCTTCCCCAAACCCTAAAAACTTTAACCTTAGACTGTCTACTATTGACCTCACCCCTTTCCTAAGAGGTCTGTAGGGGGCATGCATAAGAGCACCAACATGCCTACCGTCCCTGTCCTATTATTTCTTTTTTTCTTATTTGTTTCCATTTCATGTATTTATAACCATGTTTATACTTATACCTGTTATCTAATAATAGTTTGACAAAATAAATAAATAAATAAAATAAAATAAAATAAATAAGATGGGCCTAGAGTGAAGAAGGAGGAGACAGCTGAGAAGGACTGGATCTCACTGCCCATTTTGGGGTTTCTCTGCCAGATGAGGATCAGAAAGACATCAAGTAAGCAAGATTTTAACAGATAACAGATAATCAGAGTTGGAAAGGACCTTTTAGGTCATCTAGTCCAACCCCCGCCCAAGCGGGAGACCCTATGGCAGTCCAATCTCTTCTTGAAAGTCTCAAGTGATGGCACCCCCACAACTTCCGAGGGCAAGCTGTTCCATTGGTTAATTGTTCTCACTGTCAGAAAGTTTCTCCTTATTTCCAGGTTAAATCTCTCCTTGTTCAATTTCCATCCATTATTCCTTGTCTGGCCTACAGGCGCTTTAGAAAATAGTTCGACCCCTTCCTCCCTGTGACAGCCCCTCAAATATTGGAAGACCTCTATCATGTCTCCCCTGGTCTTCTCTTTACTAGACTAGCCAAGCCCAGTTCCTGCAACCGTTCGTTGTATGTTTTAGCCTTCCAATCCCCTAATCATCCTGGTTGTGCTTCTCTGTACTTTTTCTACAGTCTCAACATCTTTTTTATAATGTGGTGAACAAAACTGGATACAGTACTCTAGGTGTGGTCTTACTAAGGCTTTATAGAGTGGTATTAGTACTTCCCTTGATCTTGATTGTATCCCTCTGTTAATACAATTTAGGATTGCATTAGCTTTTTTGGCTGCTGCTGCACACTGCTGGCTCATATTTATCTGGTTGTCCACTAAGACTCCAAGATCCCTCTCACAGTTACTGCTATTGAGCCTGGTTTCACCCAGTCTATATGTGTACTTTTGGTTTTTCTTGCCTAAGTGTAGGACTTCACTTTTCTCTACATTGAATTTCATTTTGTTAGATACGGCCCAGTGTTCTAGTCTGTCAAGATCCATCTGGATCTTGAGCCTATCTTCTTGGGTGTTAGCTATTCCTGCCAGCTTAGTATCATCTGCAAATTTGGTAAGTTCCCCTTCTATTCCCTCATCTAAGTCGTTAATGAAGATATTGAAGAGTACTGGGTCTAAGATGGAACCTTGTGGCACCCCACTGCTTACATCCCTCCATGTAGACTTAGACCCATTAAGGACTGACTACTTGTTGAATATGGTTTGCCAGCCAGTTGTGAGTCCATCTAGTGGTGGTGCTATCTATTCCACTTTTTTCTAGCTTACTAAGAAATCGGTTGTCTACTATGTTGAATGCCTTGCTGAAATCTAAATATATTATGTCCACAGTATTTTGCTGGTCTACTAATTTAGTCACTGTGTTGAAGAATGAAATAAGATTGTTTTGGTATGATCTGTTCTTAACAAACCCATGCTGACTGCTAGTTGTTACTTTACTTGTTTCTAGATGTTGGCAGATCTGTCTTTTTATTATCTTTTCCAGTATCTTCCCAGGTATTGATGTTAGGCTGATTGGTCTATATTTCCTGGGTCTGTTTTTTTTTCCATTTTTTGAAGATGGGAACCACATCAGCTCTTTTCCAGTCCTCTGGTAGTTCCCCGGTGCTCCAGGATTTTTGAAAGATATGGTGCAGTGGTTCTGAGATGACCTCTGCCAGCTCCTTTAAAACTCTAGAATGTAATCCATCAGGCCCCGGTGATTGGTTTTTGCTATTATGCAAAGGAAAGAAGGATTCTGGGCCAGGAAAGAAAAGAAAATGTGAAGCAGGCAAAAAGAACAAAATATCTTTCCACTTAGGAAGGAAAGAGAATGAAAACAGTATTTTGGCAGTTCCACTTAGTGGAATTCCTAGATTATCATCGAGATAGAATCTTAAAGTCATAAATATATTACTTATAAACTGAGTAATAAAAACCAATTTTGATTTTATGGTCAGTGAAAAATATTTCTAACTAAATGGTCAAAGTGCAGTGTTCTATTTCTCAAATAGTTCCGACGTAATTATTTTATTAAATGCATTTACATTTAATAGCATCCATGATTCTACTCATTATATTCATTTTTTACTCACTACAAACCTTTGCATCAGTATATGAATAGGCTTTAGAGCTGCAGCCATTGGGCTAATGATAATAATGGCACTCATGATTATTTGAATTTGACAGCTCTTTATTATAATGCAGAACTATGGGTATGCCAGTATGCTATTATTAATTTTCTGTACGTATTTATATTGTTTTTTGTTAAAACTGGCACTAACACTTGCCTTTTAAGAATCAAGTGAATTTCTCTAATGTACAAAACAGCTTGAAAACATGAGTAAGAGGAAGGATCACCGATTGACTAAAACTCAGAAGGAATCTGGCAGCACCTTTTCCAACTAGCATTTACATTTAATTTAATTAAAGCTTAATTAAAAGGCATAAGCTTTCGTGAGATGACATTCATTGCATGAGATGAATAAAATAGCTACAATGATATGGAAATAGATAGGTAAGCAAGCAAGGCGGTCAGGCAAGGCAATCCAGGTTACAGATGCTTATTTTATTGTTTTCACATATATTATTTTCATCACATATTATTGATGTGCCTATTCAATATAGTTCAGCAAAGTAGTAGCTCACTTTTCAGTGTCAAAGTTGCTGTTTCATTGACTTTCCACAGTAATCCATGCAAAATACTTTTTCATAAAAAAAGAAGTGGACCATTTTGTCATCCTGGAGGATTCTGAGCAGCTCACTTTTCATATTGCAGATACACTTTGCTTATTGTACCCTATGACTATTATTAAGTGTTGTGCCTTATGATTCTTGACTCTTGATGAATGAATCTTTTCTTTTATGTATACTGAGAGCATTTGCACCAAGACAAATTCCTCATGTGTCCAATCACACTTGGCCAATAAAGAATTGAATTCTATTCTATTCTATTCTATTTTTTTTCTGGTTATTGAAGATGTAGCAAAGAGGCACAATTTCAAATAAGTAGAACCAATTAAATGTGCATCATAAAAAATAATTCATTTTCCATCCAGGTAACTACTGTGTTTCTCACAAAATAAGGCCAGGTCTTTTTTTTTTTTTTTTGATCCCTGAAAAAACGGCTAGGCCGTCTTTTCGGGGATGACTTAATTTCCTCCTCCACCTAGAGCGCCCCACGCACACTCCCCTCGCCCCGAGGCCGCTTCTACCAGCCGATCGAAGTGGCTGATGACTGCCCTTGGGGAGCTTCCATCGCCCAAAAGACACTGCCTCATGGTGAGGGGACGCGGGCAGCCATGCCTCGCCCTGAAGCGGCTGGTGACTCTGCCTTTGAGGAGCTTTCATTGGCCGATAGAAACAGCCTTGCAGCGAGGGGAGTGTGCGTGGGCGCTTGCCCCGAGGCCGCTTCTACTGGCCGATCGAAGTGGCTGGTGACTCTGCCTTCGGGGAGCTTCTATCGGCTGATGTTCTATCGGTAGTAGATCAGGGTATTCTAGCCTAGGCTACCTGCAGGCGCTCCTAAAGGCAAGCTGTCTCCCCACCCCACCCCCATCCTTCCCCCCATTTCTCTTCACCTCGTGTAGTTCTAACGAACGATGTGAGAAATGGCGGGGAAACG